CCATCACACCCCTAAAATGGACACCAATATGTCTTGGCACAATCATGTCGCTGGAATTGCAAAAACCACTTCTCAAAAACCTGGAACACTGTTCCGAACCAAAAAACTGTAAACAAGTTGCTGGATTCCATCCAGAAAAGAGCCATCCACCTGATTGGAGACGAGAACATCAGTTGCAACCTTGATATTCTGGAACATCGAAGAAAGGTTGGAGAGTTGTCTCTCTTCGATAGATACTTTCACGGAAAGTGTTCGAGTGACTTGGCAAATTTGATTCCACCAAGAGCAGTACATATCAGATATACGGGAGGGACTGTGGCTGCTCATCGTTTCGAGGTTCACCTCGAACTTCACTGTTCAAGAACTCTTTTATTTGGAGAACTGCTTTTATGTGGAATAAACTTTCTGAGAACGTTTTTCCAAATGGATTTAATCTCTAGCGATTCAAATCCAATGTGAATCACTATTTTCGCACAGGCACCGCTCTTAGAGCTCCTTCAGGATTTTCCTGTAGTGTTCGTGCTTTGTCCCTCTAAAAAAGAAAGGGGATAACAAAATCCGTGTAGTAAAAATACGTTTCTAATTTTCAGGTTTTTTATTATGTTACGTTTGTAACTTTTCACATCTGTAATGCTAATGTAGTAAAAAATGTTTTCAACCTGCTTTGCATGCAGATTTACCTAGCAATGGTTGTTGGATCATCTGTCCACTCCAGCAAAAGAACATCAGGATCATCAGGCCTCAAGTACACCGCCAAAGACAAGAAAATCAAATGGACGACTAGAATAAGGAGTCTTTTCAAAAACTGATTCTGGAAAATTTTGTAACTGTTATATTATAAGATTAAGATTTTTTCACTATTACCCTCGCAAATGTTTTCCATTTCTCCTCCAGAAGTCTTTGAATTATACCACCGTCTAACATATCTAAATGTTCTTCTTTAGTTCCATTTAAAATAATAAAAAGTGCAGAGTTCCAATCTGGAAAGTAAGTAGTGTTTCACTGGATGATGGATATTAGAGATTTGATATGATTAATGATTGGTATTCTTTTGAATTCGTTATATACTTACTTGTACTGCCATCTGGCAGTAATGTATCCAAAGCATTCAGTGTGTAAGCTGAACAAGTTATGTTACTGTAACGCCAAAATTCCTTAGCCGATAATTCTAACATTTCCCTAAACACTTCGGCACGTCCTAAAAAAATTACTATTAGTGAACGCAAAGTGATTTTCTTCAATTTCACCTAATTTACAAGCCAGCGTTAGAGGTGTCAGTCCAGCCTTATTGACGATACCATTACTAGCTGGTAGTTTTGGATGCCTTAGAGCATATCCAAACATATCCTGTAATTTAGGAATGTAAGCTTTCACGGCTGGCGTCAATGATTTGGTTGGTTTCCGGGTTTTGCCGTGGTCTTTTTTGGTTATAATCTTCAAACTTTTCAACTGCCACTACGGTAGTCATCTTCAGAAGCGTGATCGAAGTACTCTTCTTAACGTATCAACTGAAACTGAAGCTCTCATTCTCGCTTTAATGCTGTGTGCCAGATCTTTGGTAGATATATTATCTCTTCTTTCTGTTGAAGTTCTCTTGGTGTTTGTGTATTTCTATGGCTTCTAAATACATTTGTATTGAATGATGGTTCGACGTTGCTAGCATCTCGGTATTCTCGAACAGGATCTTGACAGTGCATTTTCTGCGAGTGCAGGCTTCTCGGTTTGTCCCAATCGGCACCTCCACTTGTGCTCGACAAGGCGGGTACTAATGCTCCTTTTCGTCTGACCGATATAAACTTTACTGATCTCTGATACTCCGATATTTTCTTCGTTGTTTTGAAGACGGTGTTAATTTGTCCTTCTTTAGAATTCTCCCGATTATGTTGGTGGCACTTTCTTTGCATGGCAGATAAACAATGACTGGAGGTTGATCTTCACTGGTGTTTCTCTTCTTCTCCCTTGGACGCGTACCGCAGATTGTCTTTTTTAGTCGTAGTCGTTCGCTTGTAACAACGTTACTAAGTTGTTAGACACTGTCTATCTGCCATACACAGAATATGTCACCAGCCATTCTAAAGAAGGATAAAATTAACATCGCCTTCAAACCAACGAAGAAAAAATCGGAGTATCTGAGATCAGCAAAGACAGCAGAGATCCACTCAAATCAGCGGGAGTTTACAGGATTCCATATAACTGTGGTATAGTTTATATCAGTCAGACCAAAAGAAGCATTGGTACCCGCCTAGTCGAGCACAAGCGGGGTTGTCGATTGGGACAAACCGAGAAGTCTGTAGTCGCAGAACATGCACTGTCCAACGGAGAACACAATATCCTTTTCGAAAATACCGAGAGGTTAGTAACGTCGAATCATTATTCAACAATAATGTATTTAGAAGCCATAGAAATACACAAACACCAAGAGAACTTCAACAGAAAGGAAGAGGGAACATAATGTAACGAATCTGAAGCTGCCCCTCACCGATATGTCGACCAGCGAACAAACACATAACATCACCACAAAAGCAATGCAGTCGGCAACTACCGATTAAACTCTAGTTGATTACCCATTGGAGCTGCATTCGGACCAGGGCAGAAATTTCGAGTCCAACTTGTTCCAAGAAATATGTAAACTGTTGGACATTCGAAAGACCAGAACCACATCCTTACATCCACAGTCCGATGGAATGGTGGAACGAATGAATAAGACCATAAACCGCCACTTGCCCAAGGTACACTCTGACTATCAAAGAGACTGGGACCAGTACCTCCACCTGTTCCTGTTGGCCTATCGTTCGGCAGTGCACGAATCAACCGGCCAAACCCCTGCCAGTATTATAATGGGCCGAGAGCTGCGGCTTCCTTGCGATCTGAAATTTGGGACGCCACCAGAACAAGACACTGCGGGGGAAGACCGTGTCAGCAAGCTTCGACAGAGAATGGACAACATCCATGAACGAGTCCGTCTGAACATCCGGAGTGCCAGCGATAGGATAAAGAAGGCCTATGACATTAAGGCAAGTGTTGGAGGATATTCGAAACCGGTGACCTAGTTTGGTTGTACAACACTAAGCGACGCCGTGGTTAATTACCGAAGTTGCGGAACTCGTGGGAAGGTCCGTACAAAATCATGAAAAAGATTAATGACCTCGTCTACCGAATCCATAAGCCACCTCGAGGAAACCCTAGGGTCGTCCTTTTTAATAAATTGGCTCCTTATGCTGGAAATCACGACCAAGTTTGCGTCCTCAGACCACCAGAGGATGAAATGACGTTTCAGAAGTTCATGTCATTACACTCGAACGGACAGAAGGTCATACATAGGGTAACTCAAGAAGAGCCACGAGACCTTTTCAAGGTTCCACTTGAATATGCACTAGCTCACTGCGTGGTAGAGGATCTCCAAATGTCCAGGGGCATCGCTGAGCTATTCAACAAGAAATTTGGTCACCTCCAAACATTACGAGAACAGAATCCTGAAGTCGGAGGAGTGCTACAGTTGAAGAAGGGTCAGAGAAACATTTTCTACTTGGTGACAAAAAAGCATTCTCGAGTCAAACCGTCCTATGAAGATGTATGGAGGAGTCTTACTAAACTGAGGGACACGATGCTCGACCAGAATCTCGTGGACTTGGCAATTCCGAAAATAGCCTCTGGGCTTGACAGGCTGGATTGGAGAATTGTGAGAAGCATGTTGGAAACGATCTTCAGATCCAGCGGCATCAAGATTTTGGTAACCATTTTCCACGACCGAGTATGAAAACTGTTGAGTGTTAACTACCATCCAACTTCACAGTGCACGCCAAGGATGACATTTCGGCGCGAAACGTCTTCAAGAAGGGGGCAATGTAATGAATCTAAAGCCGCCCCTGACCGATATGTCGACCAGCGAACAAACACATGACATCACCGCAAAGGAAATGCAGTTGGCAACCACCGATCAAACTCTAGTGAATTCCCGAAACGACTATAGAATTCTAGAGCGATCGTTACAGATATATAAAGCCGGCTTCTCGTCCAGATGGCAGTCGAATTTAGAAAGTGAATCGAGCGGTTAAACAAGGAATTTAAATAGTGGAAATGAATTAAGTTCTAAGTGTTGAATATAAATTAGTTTGTGATAGTGAAATATTGTTAGAAATAAATTTGGTCAAGACAGTAAATTTTTCAAAATGGTACAATATCTACCGAATATCTAGCACACAACATTGAAAAGCGACAAAACGAAGCCAAGTCACCCAAATCGCGCGGAAAGTACGCACCAACCCGCCATTACAGAAAGTGCCCAAAAAATCAGGACTATAAATGAAACGACAGAAATGAGAGCTTCACTTTCAGTTGATATGTCAAAAAGAGTACTTCGACCATGCCACCGAAGACGACTACCGCAGCTGCAGTTGAAACGTTAGGAGATTATAACCAAAGAAGACACGGCAAAACCCGGAAACCGACCAAAACATCCTGTACCTAATTATTATATTGTATATTGAGCTTACTTCAAAATAAACTTACTAGTTTATCACAGACGACGACCATATGTAAAATCATGTTTCCAAAATTATCTTGAAAGTCTGGATGGGCCCCACTGTCGAGCAATAAGTTATATACACTTTCATTAGCGCAACAAGCCGCCCAGGCCAAAGGGTATTCCCCTAAATATGCTAGGCCTTCATAGTCTGTATGTCTTGCTGGACGAGGTTTTTGTTGGTCCCTTGGGAGGAAAAAGCTACCTATGGAATATAAATTGTTGTATACAATACAATTCTACAATGAAGAAAAAGGTTTCTATGCTACCTTAAGCCGGCTCAAAAGCTATGGACGAGGTCTCTACAAAAAAATGAGGTGAATGTTCAAATTTCGCGATTAGCGATTTTTTTTTCATTTTGGTACATGTTGGTATTCAAATTTCGTAACCTAAATATGCTAGGCCTTCATAGTCTGTATGTCTTGCTGGACGAGGTTTTTGTTGGTCCCTTGGGAGGAAAAAGCTACCTATGGAATATAAATTATTGTATACAATACAATTCTACAATGAAGAAAAATGTTTCTATGCTACCTTAAGCCGGCTCAAATGCTATGGGGGTAATACGAGGTCTCTTCAAAAAAATGATGTGAATGTTCAAATTTCGCGATTAGCGATTTTTTTTTTTCATTTTGGTACATGTTGGTATTCAAATTTCGTACATTCGATTAGCTATTTTTGATTTTTTATGTTGGTACACTCGTCTCGAACAGATGTTCATAGTTTCAGCTGATTAGCATGATTAGTTTGTTGGTGAGAGACATAAAAGTTAGAATTTTTCTGCGTGTTCGGCTATTTTCTGCTGTCGAAAAAATGCTTTAAAGAACTTGCATCAAATTTTATGTAAAAATTAGAATTGAGTGATCTCAAAACACTTGAAACGTTGACAGTGGCATACGGTGATTGTACTTTGAGTCAGAAAAAATGGAGAATCATCGAAACATCATTACAGATGTTGCTGAGGTTATCGGCATATCAGTTGGCAGCAAAGTTTCTTCCAAAATGGCTGAATTTTGGCCAAAATTGCATGAGCATCGCTCTGGAAAAGTTGAATGGCATCAACGGCGAACCCGATATTTTTTAAGGATTATAACTGGTGACGAATCATGGGTTTATGGTTATGACATCGAAACTGAAGTCCAATCGTCCCGATGAAAGAGTCCTGGAGAGCCAAGACCAAAAAATCCACGCCAGGCCCGACCAAATGAATGTCAAGGTTTTGCTCACTGTTTCTTTCAATTACCGTGGATTGGTGCATCAGGAGTTTTTGCCACATGATTATACGGTCAATAAGAAGTATTATCTTGAAGTTAGGCCGCCGCTTGCGAGAAACGATACAAAGGAAACGTGTCTGGTATTGCTTTTTCATCACGATAATACACCTGCTCACTCGTCATTGCTTGGTTGTAATTTTTTGGCCAAAAACAACATTGTAATCATGCCTCAGCCACCGTATTCACCAGATTCAGCCCCCTGCGACTTTTTCCTGTCCCCAAGAGAGAAGATACACATGAAAGGACAGCGTGTTGGGACTTTTGAGGAGATAAAACCGGAATCGCTGAGTGAGCTTAAGGACGTACCAAAAAGTGCATATCAGAACTGCCTCAAGGACTGAAAAAAACGCTGGCACAAGTGTATTATATCTGAGGGAAACTACTTTGAAGGGGACAAAATGTAAATTAATGAAGAAATATATATTGTTTTTGATAAAAATTTAAATTCACCTTATTTTTTTAACAGATCTTGTTTATTATTCTGATACTAAAATGATATAATGCATTAATTTTCCAGAGTAATTGGCCTAATTACTTCATGATAAACGAAATTCTTGTCCAGTATCGATTATTAGTGAAGAAACCAAAAACATACCATGTACTGGGATGGTTTATTATATAATATACAGTGCATTAAAACGAGCCATACTGAATAACTTTTGGTACAATGATTTTCAGGAAAAATAAAAAACACGTCAACCATAGTATACAGGGGGACACATTTTGACATATTCACATTTGATCTAAGTTGCCCTATCACACCCCCAGAGCATGTCAACATTTTTTTTTAAATGGATCACCCTATATTGGGGGTGCGATAGAGGGAGTAACATCATATGTCGAAATATGTCCCCCTGTATACTATGATTGACGTGTTTTTTATTTTTCCTGCAAATCATTGAACCAAAACTTATTAGGAGTCTCGTTTTAAATGGAAAGCACTGTACAAATGTGCAGAATCACTAACCTAACCTAACCAAGCAGTAAAAATAAATCTTAACAATTTGAATTTGGTGAAAAATTATTGGTGAATTGTCTGACAGACTCTCCTCACCTATTGCTCTTTGATTAACGTTGGCCTCTGCTTCAACCAAATCTTGCACTAGTTCGTTATTATTATAGGCTATAGCCAGATGTAGAGCACTCGCTCCTGAAATGCACAAGGTTACTAGTGGAATCAATACTTCTAATAATCGTACCTAAATATTCTTCACCTTCAACAACATCCAATGCAAGTTTTGGAAAACATTTGATGAGTGTTCTAGCTAGCCTTGTGTGTATTTTGGTGTCGCAAATGATCAAAACATGAAGTAAAGTCTCCCCTAGTGATCCGCGATATTGCATTTGCCAACACGCTTCATGGTCTGTCCATTTACCAAGAGGATCATACCTGAAAAGGGGAAAGTATACCGATGGTTGTTTCAAAAGTTTTGTCCGTTCAATTGTCATGTGTTTTTGTAGCTCCCTATCTCGATAGATATTTATACTATTGTTATGCTGTTCATTTTTTCAACTTTTAAGTTTTTGCTTCTTTTCAGCTTAGTTTATGATGTCGTTGAGCTTATTTTTGTCAATTTTTCTCTACGAATTCAAATTGAACCAAAGCACTGCCTAAACAGCCCAAAAAATGTGTAACAGATATAATACGTTTGAAATCTGTATTTATAGGAAAAGATACTTCCTAATAGGGATATTTATTTCCCACCGTATTTAAACTTGATGAGTATAATAAAAAATAATAAGTGTAAAAGTTACAAATGAAATGTGAACGACAAAAAAAACGAAACCAAACCACCAAACGGAACACATTAACCTAACCAGACCATAAGAAAGTGCTCAACCTGCATTCGCCTGTTTATTCATAAACATGCCACTTTTTCTTTTTTACTTAATTAAACACAAGACACCCAGAATGGAACTGCACTCGGTTTAACTGGCAACTAAAAAGGAAAAGAAAGAAATACCGGGGTCTTCCCGAACTCCCAAAAGTACCTCGTATATCGCACTATTCGAATAACT